GGTTCTTGGACTCTTCTTGTGGAGAAGGAGGTCCGACAGCTCGAAGAACTCGGCGCAGCACCGGCCGCACACGTGGGCGTCCTTGCTCTTGGCGGGGCGATGGGGCTGTCCCTTCTCCACGTGTCCTGCCAACATCAAGAGGAGCAGCGTTAGGAAGGAAGCCAGGGCGCCGTCCCCCGTGACCTCAAACCCCAGACAGAGGTGGCCGGTCCAGCGCGGGCTACCTGCGGAGCTCGAGACAGTGGCCCCCGGAAAAAAAACCCAGCCACCAGGACCTAAGGACGCCCGTGCGGCGTGGTCAGGATGTCGGAGGCGCCCCTATCCATCTGATGCCTCCGAGAGCCACGGCCTTCAGATAATCCATCAACATGTAAGCTACGACGGACCGAGGACAGGGTGCCTGACGCCGTCCCATCGCGCAACATCGATCTCCAATACTTCATACGCCGCGCCGTCCACTCATCCAGAGAGGGCCCCGCGGCCGCTCGGAGGAGGACTTATTAGGCCCCGGCGCTCCTGTCACCCTCATTCCCTTTCACCCGGTGCGAGGCTACCTGTGACAGTTGGTTCTGTCACCAAACTCATTTGTAGCCATTCGGGCTCCAATCAGGGGTTGACAAGGAGACAAGCAATGCGTAGCGCCCACCCGCTGCCGACTGACAACCTGGACATCGCCTGCCCGCCCCCGCCCAGCGCCCCCGCTCAGCCAGATCCGTGACACACACACACTGTGGTCGCACCCGCAACAAATGCTCCACGCAACCGGATACAAAAGAGAAAGCAAACCACACACACACACACACACACAACGAGGAGAAGCACCATGACCGTAACCCGCGACTAGGCCCGCCTGGCATCGGTGTGTCACCCTATGGCACGTTTTAAAATTAAAGCAAGAACTGTCCATCACGGGGCTCCACGGGCCACCTGGTGCCTCTAAAATATTTCACCCAAAGGGCTCTTCCTATCTCTGAAGCGGGTGGAGATTTACATTTCTGATTAAACATCAACTTCAAGAAGAGATGTGCCCTGAAGGGGGGCGGGGAGAAACAATTCCTGGTTTTTAAGAGTTTGGAAACGCTTCGCCTCTCTCCTGGTCTGAATGCCTTGGGAAAACACACACACACACACACACACACACACACACACACACACACACAACAACCCAGTTTGCGCTTCACTGTTACCAATTGTTGAACAGATTGTCCCGGACCTTTCGGTATCAAAAAAAAAACACAACCCTTTATTTCATGTCTGTTTCCACCGGTTGCTCAGATTTCTTCTCACCCAGATCCATTTGTAAATTCAACATAAAACTCTCCAAACGGCAAGCTCCTCTCCTATTCACAGGCAGGCCGGCTCCCATTGTTTCCCCTCTCGGGGAACACCAACTTCTGCTGTACAAATGGTGTGTGGCCATCCCCGGGGGCTGGGGGAAAAACTGTTTAATTCAAGGATTACCTCCCTGCATGCTTTTCTGCCGACCGGAGTCAGATAATAGTCAGTTTCCATGACTTCCAAATTGAATCTCTCAGAAAACTTGCAGGGGCCGAGAGAGAGAGAGAGAGAGAGAGAGAAAAAAGAGAGAGAGAGAGAGAGAGAGAGAGAGAGAGAGAGAGAGAGAGAGAGAGGCTAATTGTGAATCTGAATAAATGCAAAATCAAAATGCTGCTTTTCCAGGAAACTTAAGAGTCAACTCCAAAGAGCCAGCCGTTCGCCTTTTTTTGTAGTGAACATCCAAAAAAAAAAAAAAGGCTCTAGCCGTTGGGCATTCCAGAAAATATAATGAATACCTAAATACTAACTAAACTTCGAAAGTGCCTCGGGTCTGTTTGCCGCCAGCGCTGCGGAGCTGGTCAGAAGCCCTGCTCAGGAAGCCGAATGTGTGCGCACTTTCCTCCCCGCGAGTGTTATTTGAGGAGCTAAGTTACACTTAACACGCTGGCTTTCCTAATTCCCATCTTTTCATCTCCACCAGGGCAGGGTGCAAAACGCATTCACAATACCCAGCAAGTCTCAGGGGGGCAGGGAACACCAATAACGACCCCGTTTTAATTTAATGTCTAATCATCCTAAATTGGCCCCCGGATTCCTGTGCACATTCGAGGTGCCGTTTTAAGCAGTTTCTGTCTCTCTCTCTGTCTCTCTCCCTCCCTCCCTGCCTTAAAATAATGTAAACAAGATACTCAACGAATTTTTGCTCAAGTTATGTGGCTTAACTTGGGACAAAAATTATGTGACAAAAAGATTCTTCGTATTTTGACAACCAGTTTTAAATGATGCATCCATTTCGGATGCTTATTTTTAAACGAGGAAATGCAGTTCCTAATATATTCGACAGAAATGTTATTTCCTCCTCTTTGCACATTTCCATATGTAATGGTTATGTTTCCATCTACTTTTACAGCCAATTATGAAGGAACAAAAGCTATTCTGTTTGTTCACACATTTTCAACAAAATGCATTAAAACTATTATGTCAGCATGTTCTATTAAGCTCTGCATTCAGTGGAAAATACTTTTCAACCAGCTCACATTTATCAAAACATAAAGCCACTTTAAAACACAGTTTTGCTTGGTCAGCTGGGCTTAGGCAAATAATGACAGATTCAGAACTAAATAACTAGCCAGGGAAATCAGAAAACTGACTTCACCAATTGTACACATTACAATGTCGTTGCTTCAAATATTTAGCACATCTGTGCTCACGACGCACGGGCATTTTGATTCTCTGTAACTTGCAAACATCTGATATTCTCGTACCATCGGGAGAAAATAAAAAGGAGGTTACTTTATAGGACTTAGCCGGCGATTACTTGCTTTCCTGGGCTCAAGTTCTACGTTGGCGCTGCTGTGAGATTCACTTGAGAATTTTCAAGTTTCCCAACCTGCACAGTTTTATATTTAAGATGGTGCTAAACTGCACGGAAAAGAGAGCTGCTTAAAATACATGCCTGCTGGCTTGTAAGAAAGGGGCTGTGTTAAAGAGCCGCTCAGACCTTAGCTTCGATTTTCGCAACATTTTAATAAGTTGACATTTGATCTCACTCGGAGAGGCAACTAATTTAATTTCCTGATGTTTATGAACACCAAGAAAAAAAAAAAAAACCCCCACAACAACCCAAAAAAAAACAATTTCTGGTATCTATTTTGATTTATTTCAAAAGCAGGTGTTGCTACACTGTGATAGTTCTTAACTTTAAATCTATCTGCATTCTGGACACAATCCCAATGAAACAGCTTTAAAAAAAAATGAAAAAAGTAAAACACCAGGACTAGCTTGAATCTTGAACTACTAAAGGGAATAGTTTAAGTCAAAATAAGATACGCTCGTGTGTGTGCGCGCGCGCGCGCGCACACACACACAAAAACTAACATGTTCTAATTCATTTTTCCAACTGTCTGCTACCTTGTATCTCTGAATAATCTGTGACAGGATTCCAGCTGCTGACCCCATTAGAGTAAATACAGTTGCCTTGTTCCCTGTGCTGTGGTGAAAATGACATGCCGGCCCCTTTGCTATGGATTTTGCATGCAAATGAATCTAATTTTGTAATCCTGGTCAGGCAGGAAGATTTAAGGAGGGGTGTTTTTTTTAAGGATTGACACACAAAAAGATATTTGGAATTTCTGGTATTTTTTTTTGGGGGGGGTGGTTTGGGGTGGTGGGGTGGGGAGAGGAAGGGTGAACTTATAGCTCCATCCAATTTCTACTAAAATCCCAAATGTTTTTTCTTGTTACACTACTTAGGGACTTGGTGCCCAATTCAAATTTGTCAGTTTTCCCTCATCTGAGCCAAAACACTGCAGAACAGCAGGCAGAAAATCGAGGTGTCCCAGGATCTCTGTCTACCGAGAAAACAAAAATAAAACTATGCCCCACACAGAAAGGACTAGCCAACCAGGGGGAAAAACAGAACAAAACAAAAAAAACCAAAAACGCAAAACCCAAACCAAAACAACACAGCATTCGGCCAGGCATAGCTTTCTTCTGGGAGCCCCCCGGAAAGCCTCCCCTGCCTTCCCCTGACCTTCAGACCACATTCCCATTTTTAACAGACCCTCTCGTGACCGTGACTGGGGAGCCTAGAATCCTAACAGGCTCTTCCTTTTCCGTGGGCCAATCGCAGACATTTTTGATTGATTGGTCTTTTTCTTTCTTTCTTTCTTTTTTTTTAATTGTTGGCACCGACCTGGGAAAGGCCTGAATGTCCAGCTTAAAATTCCCAAGAAACCGTAAACACCAGCACATAGGCTGTGTGTATTTTCGGTCCCCTCTGAAGTTTCCTCTCTTGTGACGGGAGACCAAAGACACACATTTCCTGGCACCTTCCAAGTTTCCTGGGTGCTCTGCCCCGGACCGGTGTCGTCTTGCGTGGAAGAATACAAGTGAAATCTTGGGGCGTGGGGGTGGGGTGGGAGGGAGCAACAAGACGCTCCTTTTAAAAATCGGGATCCGAGCCCACGAGAGGAACCCGGGAGTGGAAAGGGGGGAAACGCCGTCCCCGTGGCTGAATCAAACTGAACACTAGATGGGGTTCCAGTTGCGAGGGTTTGTTCAGCAACTTCTTTGTGGCTTAGCTCTTCCAGTGACGCGGAAAAGAGAGACTCCTTAAGGCGAGAGATCTAAACTTTGGCTACGTAAACATTGGCGGAGGCACCAGAAACTAAATCCCTCTTGTGTGAGGGCAAAAAACAGAGCGATGGGAACTACCTGTCAATCTTCCCCTTTGGGGGTCTGGCATCCGAGGGCAGCCCGGGGGAATGAGGTTAGGAAAAGAAGCCAAGCTGATAAGGTGAAACTAAAATAAACGACCCACTTCCTGCTAAGTGACCAGCGAGCTCAATTTGGGGGTCACTGGGAAGATCCTGAAGGACATATTATGGTCTGGACCTCATCACCTCTGCCTGGGAGGGGGCTGGCAAAGGTTAAAACAGCCCAAACAAGTCTAGGTTTTCTCAAGCCTGGCCTGCAAAGGCGGTCCTGCTGGGGGGGCGGGGAGGGGGGCAGGTGGTAGGGGAATGGACCACCTCCTTGCTAACCTGCTCAATTGCTTCAGTTTGGGCGCTCTGAGAAGACGCCCCGAGATGCGAGATGCGGCTAGCTAGCTGCTCCAGGGGATGTCTTAGAAAAACCGCGTCAGGAATTGCAGGAGGAGTTTGGTTCTGGCTACTACATAGAGCTTGGCTTCTAACAATTCCAAAAAAACGGAGGGATGACTCATCTACCAATTTCTTCCCCAGGTTCCAAGGAAGGTTTCCACATTAAAAAAAAAACCCACACAAAACAAAAACAAACAAAACAAACAAACAAAAAACCACAGGTAGGTGTCTGCCTTCGAAAGGACTGTTGGTGCAGACATGGGGAGAAATGGAATGAAGCCCCCCAAGCATGACCCATCAATTGGCCTAGAAACTATAGGAGGAACTGGATGTGAACTAAACCCCCCAAAACATTCAGCATCACAAAACTCACTGTCACACACACCGGCTCTCAGGCCTTTGCTCTCAGGCCTTTGCTGGTGTGTTTGTCTTTAACATTTTAGGGAGTCTGTGCCGCCCCCTCCAGAAGCCAATCCCCCCCAAACAGTTTGCATTTCCTCACCCAGCATCTCCCATTATGTGACCAACTTAAAAACAGGCCCAATGAGACATAAATTCTTTGGCAACTGCCTTATCTTGCAGGTGTTGGTTTGTTTTTTGTGTGTTGGTTTTTTTTAAAACCACACCAATTCATTACGGCTCTCTCTAACCTTCTGGGCCCAGAAATCAATGAGCAGCCATTAAGCTGCTCAGGATGAGGAAATTACTTTGGTAAATAATAGAATTTCATTATTAATACAAATAGGAGGATTTTTATGCGACTTCACATGACAGTCAATGTTTTATCTGCGGTTCATGATGCTTTTTATCTTTCTCCCAATGTTATCTCTTCCTTGGAAAAAACAAAACAAAATAAAAAACCTCTGAGCACCAAAATTCTTTCTTACTAAATGAATGGAGTATGAATGGGCCATCTATGTAGTTAGATGTCTTAAAAACACCACCCACGGAAGAAAAGCCCACCACACACACACACACACACACACACACACACACACACGCAGACACACGGAATCCACATTTCTGGTAAAAAAAAAAAACCCACATAGAAGAAAATTAGATTATAATACTCCCTTCCTCGGAATAACTGATCTCGGTAAATACTTTCCCCAACGCAGTCCTCTTCCTACATGCAACTCAAGACTTGTTGAATATCACCTCCGACACAAATCATATTCACCATCATCATGGTTTTGGAAGAAACAGAAAAACGCCCAAGTTTCTCTGGGGGTGCTCCCGGTCCCTCCGCCTCGCGGAAGTAGAATTAAAATGTGAACACTGTTAAGATTAACCAAAATAATCTTGTTTTCCTGAACTTGTTCCAATGAAGTTATCCGTGTGGCTGTCCAGCAT